TCTGGAGCCCTCCCTGGGCGAGGCACGCAGCCGCTGAAGGGCATGCCAAACGTCAGCCCGAGAGGCTGGGAGAAGGCCGAGGACGAACACGCGCGAATGTGCCCGAGAACCTCGAGCTCCGAATCCTCGATCCCCCCCTAAGCCTGCCCCCCCCCTACCCTTGCCCTGGAGAGATGCTCGGGGCGAGCAGCGGACCGAAAGGATGGTGCCCGATAACCTCGAACCGCGAACCTCGATCCCCCCCTAAGCCTGTCCCCCCCTAACCTTGCTATTGAGAGATGCTCGGGGCGACCAGCGAACCGAAGAGAGGGTGCTCGGGCACCCTGCAGGACCCTGTGCGCTGCCGTCTGCGGTAGCCCGTGGGGTTGCACGCAGGCCGAAGGGCCTGCGGCGACCGACGCCTCCTCACTTCCCCAGTCCCGGGATCTTGGCGCGTCGCTATCCTCCTCCTCCTCCTCCTCCTCCTCCTCCTTCTCCTCCTCCTCCTCTTTGCACCACTGGCGACTCTGCCGGGTGCCAGGCCCTGGTGCCATCGCAGGTCGATCCGGCCTGAGAGGTGCGGCAGTCACATGGGGTCTAGAGCTCTGGTGAGCGTGTTGATCATTCGGCGTTTCGACATTGTGCGGAAGCGGGGGGTGAGGGGGGGGGGAGGGCTCCGGACCTCTGCTTAGTGCGACTGTTTGGAAGAGTGCGGCCTCTGGGGGAAGGACTCAATCTGCTCGAAACCGGCGCCAAAAAACAGCCAAGATATACTCCATGGGGGGCTGGGGGGGAACAAAAGCCTGGGACTCGCCTCAGTCGCCCCCACCCCCTAGGCGTTTGAGATGTTCGCTAGCTCGGGGTGGGGGTGGGGGGGAGGGGCGACGGGAATGGTAGGTGCGCTTGCGCCAGATAGCCTGAAATCCTACCTGTCCCACCCATCACTTCCCATGGCGCTGGTGTTTTCTCTATCCGCCAACGGGTCACGCACAGCCAAAACGTATACTAAGGACGGGTGGTAAGGACGCACGACCCTTGGAGGCCGGAATTGAGTTTTTCATGGGCGGCGGGCGACCAGTGAAAACGGCAAAGCACGGGCCGCAGAGGCAAGGACACAAGGGTACCTTAGATTAGATGAAGGCGCGCGTCCTCACTAGGCGCGTTGACTATAGCGGGCCCGGATCCAACCAAACGACACCATTATGTTACCAGCAGTCACAGAAGGGAGCTGTGTATATTGGAGGAGGTGGCGGATGAGCTGGGGAATGGGCAGGACAAAGAGGGGGAGGAGGAGGAGGAGGAGGAGGAGGAGGAGGAGGAGGAGGAGGAGGTGAGGAGGAGGAGGAGGAGGAGGAGGAGGAGGAGGAGCAGGAGCAGGAGGAGGAGAGAAGGAGGAGGAGGAGGAGGAGGAGAGAGAGGGGAAGAGGAGGAGGAGACGGGAGGAGGAGGGAGGAGGAGGAGAGGAGGAGGAGGAGGAGGAGGAGGAGGAGGAGAGAGGAGGAGGAGGAGGAGGAGGAGGAGGAGGAGGAGGCGGAAGGAGGAGGAGGAGGAGACCAGAGGAGGAGAGGGAGGAGGCGGACCAGGGGAAGGCGTAGGAGGGGAAAGGAGGTGAGAGACAACGGTGAGTAATGACCCGTCTTCAAGACAGTGCCCCGCGCGGAGGCGAGAGAGCGCCGGCCTGAACGACGGAGGCAAAGCGCCGATCCGAGACTGAAGTCCACGCTGCAGGGACGGAACGAAAAAGGTCAGAATTAAACACGAACGCATACACGTTGTTCATATAGAATCGTGCTCATTTCTAATTGTGCTCGTTTCTAGCTGTTCCTGGCCCCCAAGTGGCCAGGAAGAGGCCCAGGATAGAACAATTAGAAATGAAATGATCTTGGCACCCCCAATTAATCAGAGAACTTTCAAATACTTAGAAATAAGCAATGTGTACGAAAATCCTCCTCGGACCAATTCGGAGCAGCCCTGTGTGCAAGCAACAATGCGCAGGGTGCCAGGGGCGCACTTCTCTCAGGCCGTCGTCGGGGGAGAAAAGAGAGTGATGCTCACATCGCTGTTGACTGTGCCCTCTGAGAAGCCAGGGGCCTTCCCAGACTTGCGACATTCACGACCTTGCATGTCGCGACCCCTTCCCCGGGACAAGTGTTTCATCCCGAACACATTTTTAACGGTCCCGATGCCCGGCGAGGGGCCCACGAGGCCTCGGGAAGGCTGCGCATCCTTCCTGTGCGGGTGGACGGTGGTTCTCACAACATGATCCAGGCTGCTCCTCGATGGTCCTCGCCGGGGAAAGAAAGGCACACGTCCGAGCGATGCCAGGGCCATGCCCCAGAGAATGGAAGCGCTCCGTTGCGGCCTCATCCTCCCGCTCCTCGCTGCTGCTTCTGCTGCTGCTGCTGCTGCTGCTGGTGCTCGCTGGCCCCCGCTGCCTAACGGCGTTTGGATTCGCTGCTGATCCTGGCAGGGGGCAGGAAAAGGGGGCGCGGGCTGACAGAGATCCTCCTCCTCCTCGTCC